GTGTGCAGCGAAAGAGGGGCTCAAGGCGCATGATCCACCGGAATTTAGGGCGAAACTTTAACCTTCGGGGCGGTAGCAGTCTCGTAACTCTCCTGTGCCCGCCCAGGCACTCACAGAGCTCCCGAGGGGATGAGAAGGACTCAAATCTCCAGAGGACAGTGTAACCAGCTGCCAGTCTAGCTTTGGAAAGCTCGAGGCAACCATCGAATTAGGTTCCTCCTTAACAGGAAGAGTACCGCCCACGCCCGATGCACACTGGGAGTTGTAGTCCTTTCCGCAAACAACGAGGTCAGCGCAGTGAGACTACAATTCCCAGCATGCCTGGCAACAGACTCATCACTCCCCGCTCCCCGCAAGCCAAACGCTTCCCGAAACCCTGTGGGGCTCTGTCCCAAATTCTTCCTCCAGAGACCGAGTAGGGCCTAACTCACTCTGTAATTATGATAGTGCGTCTCCACGAGATGCCGGTGGCGCGACTTGTCGTGGCTGAAGTTGGATTTCTCACAGACCAGTAAGTGCCGGGGCGTCTCTCGCAGTGTACGCAGCGTGGACATGCTCGCGGTTCCCAGTGCTTCTCTCCACCGCCAGCTCGGTACACTCCGCTCCGCCCCTCTCCTCCTTTTGCCCCGCCCACAATTCGCCCCGCCCCTTTCCTGCCCCGCTTCTGGTGCACGGGGAAGGGGTATCAGCACTAAGTCCAGGATTCCTTAAGCTTTTAAAGGACTCTGGTAGAAGCTCCATAAAGGTCTCCGGAACTTGGCACTTGCCTTTTCAGAGCTACTGTCCCTTTATCCACTCCATCCTTTGAAGCTGGAGTACTTCCTCTTAAAGCCTGAGACTTTAACAGTGTTTACTTGGGCAGCACTGGAATGCCTGCGCCGCCACAGTTAAAAAAAGGAGGATGAAGCCGGGCATGGTGGCACACGCCTGTAGTCCCAGCACTTGGGAGGCAGAGGCAGGCGGATTTCGGTGAGTTCAAGGCCAGCCTGGTCTACATAGTGAGTTCCAGGACAGCTGGGGCTACAGGGAGACCCTGCTTCAAAAAGGCCAAAAAAAAAAAAAGCGGGGGGAGGAAGACCAGTGGAAACCAGCACTGTGGAAATTCACCCTCTTTGCTGGCGTACGCTCATTACTTTTCTGGCTCTTGATGTTCCTAATTCACACTAGCCAACAGGCCCTAAAATTCCATTGAGCCTCCCCCTAAAGTGTAGGAAGTTTGTGGGGGGAGATAATACTTGCAGTAGCACCCCTTTGATAAATGTTTTGATTGTTTATTCAGTTTTTTCATTTCCAACCTATTTTTGTATTATCAAGAGATCAAAGTTAAGAGTTCATGAAAGGGGCTGAAGAAATGGCTCAGTAGTTAAAGGCACAGGCTGCTCTTGTAGAGAACCTGGGTTCTGTTCCCAGCATCCACATGGCAGCTAACAACCATCTCTAACTCCAGTTCCAGGGGATTGGATAACCTCTTCTGGCCTCTTCATGCCTGTACAGGTGCACTTACATAACATACAGACAAAACAGTCATGGACATAGAAAACAAAACCCAAAAAACACATGAGAGAGGAACTGAGATCAAAACTAAAGGTATGCAGAAGTGGTTCACTGAAATTATAAGAAAAATCTCCCAAATTTAGATAAAGGAATGGAGGCATCTACATAGACATGACCAGAGAAGAATCTCTCCATGACATAGTGAAGAGGTAAAATAATATAAAGCAAGGAAACAGTAGTAAAAGCTGAAAGGAGGCCGGGTGTGGGGTGCACGCCTTTAATCCCAGCACACAGGAGGCAGAGGCAGGCAGATCTCTGTGAGTTCAAGGCCAGCCTGGTCTACACAGTGAGTTCCAGGGCAGCTGGGGCTACAGGGAGACCCTGTCTCAAAACAAAACAGAGCAAACAAAAAAGCTGAAAGAAAAAAAAACTACAAAGGAAAACATCAGAAAAACATTAACTTTTTTTTTTTTTTTTTTTTTTTTGAGGCAGGGTCTCCCTGTATCCCCAGCTAGCCTGGAACTCGCTATGCAGACCAGGCTGGCCTTGAGCTCATAGAACAGAGATCTGCCTGCCTCTGCCTCCCATGTGCTGGGATTAAAGGTGTGCGCCACCACGCTAGGCTAGAATAACATTAAATTTTTGATCAGCAGCCCTAAAAGTCAGGAAAGCATGGAACAATATATTTTAAGACCTGAAAGTAAATAACTGCCAACCAAGATTGCTATATACAACAAAACTATCTTAAAATCAACTGAGCCTGAGGATAGGGCTCAGTTGGTAGAGTGCTTACCTAGCATGCACAAAACCCTGGGTTTAATCCCCAGCATTACATAAACCACATATGGTGGGATATTCCTATAATCCCAGCAATTGGGAGATGGAGACAGGAGGCTCAGAAGCTCTAGGCCATCCTTGGCTTCATAGCAAGTTTGAGCCCAGCCTGAGCCAAATGAGACCCTATCTCAAAAACTCTAATTAATTAAACCAAGGTGAAATGACATTTCAAAACAAGTAAAAATTAACTCAGTTTATGACCACCAAGCCAGCACTTGTGAAAGATACTTAAAAGAATGTTTTGTTGAGCGTGGTGGCGCATGCCTTTGATCCCAGCACTTGGGAGGCAGAGGCAGGTGGATCTCTGTGAGTTCAAGGCCAGTCTGGTCTACATAGTTAGTTCCAGGACAGTTGGGGCTACAGGGAGACCCTGCTTCAAAAAAAAAAAAAAAGTTTCACACAGAGAAGAATGATGAGAACCCAGGAAAGAATAAATTTATGAGAGGAATATCTGAATAAAGAAGGGCTAGGAAGGAATCTATCATGTCCAACACCCCTTACATTAGTAGGGGAGAAAAGAGAACAAACAGCAATCCAACAAGAAAAATCAACAAAATTACAGGAATTAGCAAACATCTCTGAATAATAACATTAAATGTAAATGGCCTAAATTCATCAGTAAAGAGATGCAGATTGACTAACTAGATTTAAAAATAAGATCCAACTACCCATTGTCTCCCACTGGCAAAGACAGGAAGGATGGAAGTCAACCTTACCAAGTGAATAGAAATCAAAGACAAGCTGGTGTAGTTATTCTGATATCTGATAAAGTACACTTAAAACTAAAATTAGTAAGATGGGACAAAGAAGGTCACTACATCAATAAAGGCAATAATTCAATTAGATATAACAGTTATAAATGCATACACACTATATATTGGGGCCTGCTGGGGGACCCTGCTGCTAAGGTTGTAGTCCTCCATGTCTGGATAGCTCTAAGGGGCTGTGCGCTAATATGGAAGGACTCCCTTTCTCAGCAGGGGCCTCCTGCTCCCTGCCGGACTTACCTGGAGAGTGCTGCCAAGCACGGATGCCTGACCTTATTTAGAACATGACCTTTGGCATAGTAACCTGCAATAAAACTGCCCCCAGGTATTGCCCTATAGTTGGATGATAGGATCCACCTACCACATGTAAATAAAGCATACTATGAGCACCTATCAGCTGAGGCTTTGGCTGCTGCCTCCACACTATATTTTCCCTAACCCCCACTGAATAAACGGAGCTGTACCACTGAATCTGCCTCCCCAGAAAGTCTTTTTCCCGTCGTGCTCACTGGCTGTCCTGAGCCTGTTCATCACTTCTGCTCCCTTTGTTCTCATGGGTCGGTGGCCAACGACCCACGAGGGGAGGGAGAGACCCACAGGGACACAGTTTAATAAACACTAATGAGTACAAAAGATTAATAGATCCTATCTGGGCTTGGTGGCAAATGCCTTTAATCCCGGCACTCGGGAGGCGGGGGGGCGGTAAATCTCTGTAAGTTCAAGTCCAGCCTGGTCTACATAGTGAGTTCCAGGCCAGCTGGGGCTACAGGGAGACCCTGTCTCAAAAAAAAAAAAAAAAAAAAAAAAAAAAAAGATTAATGGATCCTGATACAAGAATAGTGAGGTGTCTTTAGATAGGCCATCTAAATTGAAAATGAACAGACTTCACGGTTTAACTGAACGACAGATTGAGTGGATTTAACATGTATCTATAGACTATTCCATCCAACACACACAGAACATACTTTTTCCCTAGTAGCCCATGGGAACTTCTCTAAGATAGACCACATTCTAGGCCACAAAGCGTATCTTAATAATTATAAAAGACTTAGAATAATTGCTTATGTCTTTTGTTTTTGTTTTGTTTGTTTGAGACAAGGTCTCTCTGTAGCTCCAGCTGGCCTGGAACTGCTATGTGGACCAGGTGAGATCTGCTGTCTCTGCCTTTGTGTGCTAGGATTAAAGGTGTGTGCCACCACACTAGGCTAATTTCATATATATATA